TGAGGTATTGGGGAATTTTTATAAATGTTTTACTTATTATATTGTACATGTATTTAATTATAGAAAACTTTCATTACTTATTAGTATAATTTGTGGAATGTTGATTTTTAAAACTTTGTAAATGCTTGAGAAAAGGATTATCCTACTGAACGTGTGGTTGCTCATCTCTTACTAATATTTTCAGAGACTAGCATGCATCCTGAGGCATAAGTGATGGAATGTTTTGTGGGAGCTTAGAAAGAATCTCTTTTGGAGTTTTTTGTATTTACTTTTAAAACTTATGTAGAAATGTTAGCACTCAAGCATTATATTTGAAAAGGTTGTCTTAAGGCATTTTTGGTGTACACTTGATCATCCCATAGAGGAATTATTATTTTGGATGTTGTAATGTAAAATTATAACTTTTGGTACTAAATTGTAGTATATATTGGTGTTGGATGTATCCGGGTTTGGGAGGACTTCGTGGGCCTCTAATTGCCACCCCAGATTTAGTTGGAATATATTTTTGGATGGAGACATGTTTTGGATGTTTAGTTAGTTTAAATTATGTTATGCTCTTACTAACTGGTTGGAAGCCTAATTTTCAAAGGAAATTCTACCGAAATTTTCAAAAAAAAAAAATTGATTTATTTCAACTAAAGAGATACTTTCCTAAATGTTTTTACAACATATCGGCATGTGTTATTTTTAAATAAATAAAGTGTTTGTTTTAATCACGTTTTTATGAAACTTGGGGCGTGATATTATCATCACAGTGGTTGTTTATATTTTTTTAATTGCTTGTTTGGTTTAAGCTAAACATTTTTTAACTTACGTGTTAGTTCATTTTGTTTATAGCCTCTTGGATTTTCGTCATATATTTTTTCAATTGCTTGATCGGGCACTTCTAAGAATGTCTAATTGTCATGGGATGAATATTTTGCCAACAATATCCTCCTTTAGTGTTTCCTTTATATGGATTAATGTTGTTGATTCTATTTTACATTATATTGTGTAGAGCAGAGATCAAGCCCATAATAGTTTAAACTTGAAGTTGGATTACATAGTTCAGGATGGTCTAAATATTCCAAATTCTATTAATTACTCCCATGTTCTGGTCCAATAGGTGCATACTTCATCAGTCCCATTATTTAACTTCGTGTTAGTGACAAAGTGCTTTGGCCTGAGCACACTTGTCAGAAAGATTTTGGTCTTGGTGGGTGGCTAGAGGGAAAATACGAGATCCAATTGTCTAGTTGGTCATTGACTAAATGTAATGTGTCAATTATTGCTATAAATATCCATAAGTACCGTAAGTAACACACAAAATCGTTGTTTTTACCCAAAAAAAAATATGATTGTCCTTTCCTCCTCTTAGGAGGATATTTTGTGGTTGAGTAATTGAAAAATTCACCTTCCTTTTGAGAAATATGTTTTCGATGATTAAAATGATTTCATAGCATCCTATTCTAATACTTATTGATTGTTGCTCGGGGAAGAATTGTATGCAAACCACTGATTTTCAGAAGTGAAGGCTTGTTGTGTTGTCGCATTTTATTTTTTCTACTTACAAGAATTGATGAGAAAAAATCTCAACCGAAGCCATGCTGCTATTTCAGTCATTACAAAGATGAGTACGATTTATATCTCTCAAAGTGAGTGTCGATCCTTTGAGATCACAGTGTTTTTCATATTCAAAGTTTAAAAAATATTTTAATTTGTTAGCCTTGCATCTTCATATCGCATCATAGGCCTAGACATATGTAGCTGATATAACCTACATCTTATTTGTGCAATATTATGTTACGGAACTTGAAATCAACTTCTTCTTTACCCAAATTCATAGTAATTGCTCTTGATGAACAATAGGTAACGATTGTAATAATTTGTGAGCTAATGTTATATAATGATTTGTTAGATTTTTGGGAGCGTTTGTTGTCTATAAAGTTGATGATGTTGTTTCTGAAGTCGTTCAACGCTTAACAAGTTTGAGAGATTCCAAGGGTTATTTTTCAACTTCAACGCCTAATAAGTATGAAAGATTCCAAGGGTCATTGTTGCAAGAAATAAAAATATGGATGCACACACTTTATCATCTTCCTTTCCACTAAAATCTACTTATCTCATTATATTTTAAAAGTTGATGTGTTGTTGTTTGCTTGGTTTGGTCCTGAAAATTTGTCAACTTTCATTTCTAATGGTGAAATGGCCTCAATATCTAATGACTATGGTGACTTCTAAGATATTCATGGAATTGAACATGAGCACAACTCTTTTGTCCTCATGATTTATCATCTTGAAGACAAAATTATATTGAGACACATCAATCCTTTCTTTTTGTTGTGATGACTATAAATAAAGATAGTGAATAACATATATATTACCCTCAAATTTTAACTTCTATTTACATCTCCAGTTCTTGTCAGCTGCATTTTTTCATGTTTCATCACAAATTCTCTCTTTCAATATTTTTCTTGATTTGAGAGATTGGATGTAAGATTTCTTTGACCAAGTAATTATTGTTTGTTAAAAAAAGGGGTTCAAGGGAAAGGGGTTAATGATTTTCATTCAAAATAATTTAATCCAAATTGATCCACGTGCAACATACATATGCCTCACCTAATAAAATAAGAAGCAAATAACAGAAAATTTGGAACTTTTGTAAGACTGTTTGTAGAAAGTATGAATTGAAATTTTTTTAAAAGTAGTATCATAAAAGATTGGAAGAATTACACTTAGACCTTTTAAATTTTGTCACTTAATCACTCAAATCCTCTGATATTTAAAATGTTACATATAAACCTCTTAAATTTTGTATGAGCGTAACACTTGTACCCCTTCTGTCAGATGTCCAATAATATATCTTTTAGTAAATTACTTTTAGACCCCTAAAGTTTGTAGGCTTATAATACTTAGATCACTCAAGTTTAAAATGTTATAATTAAACAAAAAATATTTCAATTAAAGATAGAACATCAAATATGTTAAATTTTACAATTAAAATTCATATTTTATTGTATCATTTATTGAAATAAAGTTAAAAATAAAAAGTCAATTTTTTTAAAAAAATCTTAATTAGTATACAATTATACTATATATTAGAATAAAATTAAAAAATCAAACAAGTGGTCTAAGTCGTTCATAATAGAACATGAATTTTACAACCAGAATTCATGTTTTATTATGTCATTTATTGAAATAAAATCAAAAATAAAAAATTAATTTTTTCTTAAAAATCGTATTTAGTGACAATTATACTATCTATTGGAATAAAATTGAAAAATCAAATAAGGGATCAAACTGTAATGAAAACAATATATTCTAACTTCAATTGGGGTAATTTGGTAGTTTATATGACCAAATTAAATTCCAATAGATAGTATAATTATATAGTAATTATGATTTTTTTTTAAAAAAAAAATAGATTTTTGTTTTTAATTATATTTCAAAAAAAATGTCCTAATAAAACACAAATTATGGTTGTAAAATTTTAAATATTTAATATTCTATCTTTAATTTGAGTATTTTTTATTTAAGTATAACATTTTAAACTTGAGGGATCTAAGTATTACACACTTAGAAACTTCAGGGGATCTGAATATAATTTACTAACGAATACAAATTTCAAGGATCTATATGTAATATTTTAAATATTAAGGATTAAATGAGGCACTAGTACCCTTTGGACGTATTTGGATGACCCGCTTTAAAGGGATATAATTGAAAGAATATATTCTTTTTCATCCAATATTAAGAGTAATTTAGTAAGTTATTCTATCCATTTTTAACCAATGCTAAGTTACATTTAACCCATTTATTATTTATATAGACTAAAAAATCCTGTTCATATTAGGTGAGGATAAAATTCAAATAGAATTTTCCAACATCTTTTTTCCCTCCCATACATAAGATAACAAGGCCCCACTTCAATTATATTGAACCCAACATCTATTAACCCTTCTTTACCTTGGCCATTTAGTAGTCCCTTTATGTAGGAATATGTTGGTTTCAGGGACGACCATTACACACTAGGTCAAGTTTCGAAACAAGGGCATCGTCTATTTTTGTGATAAAATCTTATCCTTTTGTCTCTTAAATTGATGTTCAGCTCACCTAAGTATTGAGTGCAAGAATTTGTGCCATAATAATACGAGATGACTAACAGAGTATTCAATCTTAATTCGTCCATTTGTTTCTTCTCAAAGAACGTTTCATTATAATTTCAGTTTGCGATAAATTTCAAATAAGAAATATTTTTTCAAGTTTGATTTGAGCTCGGCTCAATTGAGAAAACCTACCCTGATTTTGAATTATAAAAAAAGCATTGGGGAACAATGAAAGGCCAACAGAATTCACCCACTTTGCTTGCTTATTGACCAAGAGACAGAGACTCGTTCTCAAGAGTTTCAAATTGATTCCCAATAACTGACTTTTTCCTTGGGACATTTAGGTGAGATGTTAATAACCCAAACCAGATAACTCCTATGCACTAAAGTATTCAAAACGGTAATAAAGTATTCAAAAGGGTAATAATGCCTGATTTGAGTAACTTACCAAAAATTAATCCGGTTCAAACCGGCTTTTCAACCGAACCGCTTCTGTTTGTTTAAAAATAGCCGCGAAAATAAAACTGCCGGTTCTAGATCTACTGCCTAGCTATCATTCCGCGTTTAAACCAAAGCACTATCACCTCAATTTCAACGAATAGACGTCAGCCACGTCCTCACAAGACCATTTTTTGCTTACATGGCAAGTATTTTAACCGATATTTTTTGAGAAAATGTAGTGACGTCTACATCGAATCAAAACTCAATCGTGGGTAACTCTGTTCAGAACGAACAACTACTCCCCCTGTTTCTCTCTCTACACTAAGCACGTTGTCTCCCCTATATAAACCCTTCACCAACTACAATTCTTCTTCCTGACTCTCCATGTACTCCAATCCACAGAGAGAGATTATATAAAGTGGGTAAGAGAAGAGTTGTGGAGAGAGAGAGAGGGGGGAGAGAGAAAACAGAGACATGTCAGGGCCAGATGTGGAGAGCAGGGGAGGCAAAAACAGAGGAAGCAAACACGATGTGATCGAGGACAGGGAGACTCATTGGACTTCATGGTTGATCCCGATGATCGTTGTGGCCAACGTTGCCATGTTTGTTGTTGTTATGTACGTCAACAATTGTCCCAAACACAATTTGGGTGTTGAAGGCAAGTGCGAGGCAAGGTTTCTTGGGAGGTTTTCGTTTGAGCCTCTAAAAGAGAATCCTCTGTTTGGTCCTTCCTCGTCCACGTAAGGATTGGTTCTTCAAGACCCATGCCTCAATTTTGAATTTTGTTTATGTTTGTGTCTTGTGAGAGTTGTGTGTGTTTTGTTTTGAACTGATCACACGTTATGGGTTGAATGTTTTCTTGATTGATTATTTGCGTGGTATCTCTTAGTATTTGCTTTTGGTTTCTATTTTTTTATTTTTATTTTGTGAAGATGTTTAGTTTCTTTTCTTTTTTTGCTGCTTAAAGAATATTGTGACTTGGGAGTGTTGTGTCTTTAGAGTGGAAACACACCTAGGCTATTGATTTGGTTGGGTCTGTGAAGGTTATCGTTTTTTTCTTTTAATTCCATGATCCTGTAAATTCCAGCTCTGTTTTTCCCGCCCATTTTGTTCTTGTTGCTGTACCGGAAATCATTAAATTGGGAATTTTGGGGATGAATAATGTTTCATCGTTTGTGGTTCTTAGGTTTTGAGACTGCGATACGTGTGGATGGGTGAAATTTTGTTTCATCTTAGATGTAATAATTATTTAATTGCCATCTCTCACTATGGCTTTGGTAGAATTTGTTGCTCAGAAAAATATAGCTTAAAAATTTTAAATCTGGTGTCTGAATTTTATGATGTTTTTGCTGATCAGATTAGAATGGTTTGGCGAGAGTGGCGTGATTTTGTTATATCTGGGTTTTTTTTTTGTTGCTTACCTAAAAGATGGGCTGTTTGGCTAGGGTATGATTACAAACTAACGTGTGTGAGAGAGAAGGGGTTGAGGGGGGGGGGGGGGGGGGGCGCACC